CTTTTCAGCAACCCTAGAAACATTTTGATGGACAGGCGTAGGCGTATACTCAGTCATTACCATGGATTTTGAACAGAAACCCTTCTCAATAACAAGCATTACGAGCAACCTTTTGTTACCTAACCAGCCCGCAAGCGCGATCCCCATGCTTAAGGTTTGATACCACCCTACGGGACCTGCAGCTACCCTCTTGGATACCCATACACGGCATCTTCTCCGATGCTTCAGACGGACCAATCGCCCGGCCTGCTGTCATTGCTAGAGCCTAGAGCGCGCTGAGCCACCTGAAGGTTGAATCGAGTCTATCCTTACCTTGGTGTGATGGCCTGGGGAAGAGAGAGAAAATTGCACGCGGAGACTCCCTGTGCAAGAGGAAAAGGGGTTGCCTTTCCACCTTCCCCGTCGAGGAGACACCCGCCCCTAGGCTTCCTTGGGTGGTAGCTCGCTTAGATGTCTCGTCGCTTGGTACCGCTCGGTACGTATCTTGCACCATCCATCTCATACCTAGGTGGTTGACTGCGGAAGGTAAGGTACCTTTGTACTATGGAATTACTTCGTACTTTGTAGATGCATCTGTTTCCTTCACACCTCACCGTTGACACTCAGCTTCTCTCCGAGTGCACAGTCATTCCCACCATCCTCACCGAGCCAAACATGACAAGAGAACCCATCCGGGTCTTGGCAGTCCTGATTATCTGTCAGGTACTCTGCGTAGGGCGAGCACGCTACTCAAGCATCAAGTGCCTACCTACCTGAAGGCTGGTCGCCCATGTCCTCTTCGCTCCGCGCCGCGCCACTCCAGAAAACACATTCTCTCTCTCACCCGTAGGTATCTGATAGGTACAGAGGTACCTCACTACTTCTCTCTCTCTGGGCTCTACCTCTACCTCTCCCTCTCCCTCTCGTCCGTTTCGGATCCGGGTGCGGTGCCTCATCAACGACAAACCATCGCCTGTCTCAGCCTGGAAACCGAGGGACTTTTCATCCAGGGAAAACTGGGTTGCGTTGGTGCACGTTGGCGACACTTGCGTTATTAAGCAGCATTTTCCCTGCACATCATTTCTAATTATCCAAAAGTACTCCGTCGTCCGACTCTTCAATGCAACGCAACCCCAGAGTAACTGCGGCGTCGAGCGGTCCGTTGCGACTCTTTTGAAGCATAACCACATCTGCCAACTATGCCAACCTCGTGCTGTCCAACTGTCAACACGCACTATATTTGGTTGGCGCTGTCTACGAATACCTACTCCGTACATACCTCAGTGCCGCCACATGTAGTCGCAGAATCCGCCGACGCCGCCGAGATGAGGGTCCCAGATGGGATGGAATGCCCTGGGCCTGGTGGCGGCCTTCTGTCTTGCTGACAGGCGGCTTTCCACCATCACCCTAGCCAAGATCTTCCCTCGCCTCGTGCTCGACATTGCAGACACCAAAAGTTCCTCTCAAGGATTTCTCAACTACGGATACATGCTATATCTTGCCACTATGAAAAAGGGGGGAAATAAAGCTCCTATGGCACCTCGTTTACAGCTGCAAAGCTGCAGAGGTCAAGACCTTCGGCCGGTCCCAGTGACGGAGGACCTAACAACGGACGGGCAGGCAAGTCGGACTCGGATCCACGGAAAACTCTCAGCTACCGACATCAAGAACGAATGGGGGGCCACCTGTCCGTCCCCAACCACAAGGATGGATGGACATGGACGCTAAGCACTGAAGCGGGCCAGCGGCGCCATCACTAATGATTTTCGTTACGACACACGACCGACAAAGACCAGCGACTGGCTCTAGCCTGCCTCTCTTTTTCCCCTGTTTGTTAGCGTTGATGCTACTGCCATTGACGGCTGGCTGGCGGGCTGTTACCGAGCCTGAAAACCACATCTCGTTCTTGGTCTGTCTAGTCTTGTCTCGTCTTGCCAGTTGATCGTCAATCCAAGACTCTGAGAGGCTGCCAAATCCGCCGCCAAGACGAGAGTTTTGTCAGCAGGTAATGATCTTGGCCAAAGTCTTTGTCTGATTGCTAGATACCTATCTCTGCGCCTGGCCAGTCATATGGTTGTTACTCTCCATCCTTCCTCTAGCGCTACTCCGAGATATGCGCCTTGGATGTTTTCACGAAGTCGAAATTAAGAGAAGATCTATGGGTTTGCAAATTGGCAACGGCCCCTCAGATCATACGATGACACATAAACACGAAGAAGAAGAATCCGACTGAAGATGCATGATTGATGTCGTGTATTACAGCACTTCAAAACACGATACATGTGCAGATTTTGTGCATGGTTCGGCAAGCCTCGGTGCGAAATTCCTTCTCTTGAGCTCCATTATCACGCCAAACTGGGCTCCTCTCTGCCCTCCCTGCACGCTGCGCTGCCGGCTGCAGGCCAACTCAGGTCCGGTCCAGATCTTCGCAGCCCCCGTACCGTCACAGTGTACCCAGGGGGATGGGATCCACCTAATGAAGACATGCCGGACTCGTCTTATTAGCCTCTGCTATCGCTGCAGGGGATCCAACCTTGTCGTCATGGAGCCCGCAAGGACGTTGTAAGAACTACTTTAGTCCCTCCCAAGACAGGCAGGTAGGTACTTTTGCGCCACTGGCTCCCACGCCGGATGGCCAAGTACCTTTTCCTCCTTCTCAGTTCTCACCAGTCCACTCATTGCTTCATTGCGGTTGCTGGCCCAGTGAGGTTTCAACTCGAGAAAAGACGAAGGCCGGCGGGCCAGCAACTCTATCCGATGCACAAACTGCACAGCGTTTGAGTAAACCTAACTCCCCAACACACTATATCTGAGCTGGGATTGGGCCGATTCCCTCAGCGTTCATCCAAAGTCTACCGGACAATCATCAATCATACTTTATACCTACGAATATCCGTACCTATGAACAACGCGAACATACTTTATGTGCATTGACAAACGTGGCCAACTCAGCTCCATAGCTACTTTACCTCTTCGTCATTTTCACAATCTCAGGATTGATGTGATGGGTATCTCTTAAAGACCAAACCCCGCGCGGAGATCCACAACCACCTCTCTTGGAATGAACCAACAACCGACACACCGTTCTCGTTATTTCCTTTTCTCGCCCGGCAGTCCGAGCCTATCTCGTTACGTCCATGCCGCCATCTGGGCTCATCCTGGGTGGGTCACTGCCAGGGAATATTGACCCTCATCGTGCATCCTTCAGACGTCCAACAAGCAAAACAACGAAGAATGACACGAAGCGCTCGCCGCCGCCGCTGCAGTGCATCGGCCCCGGTTTAGCCAATACCCATAGACTGGCAACTTTGTCGAGCTTCACGTGTCTTTTGCCACTACATGTACCAGTAACATATGAGCAGAGGCGATTCAGGACATTCGAAAAACCAAGATGCTCAAGGGAGTCCTGAACTTCTTCTTTCCGCTCCGAGGTCTATCACTTCTTTTCGTTTGGTCCATCTAGACACTGGTGCTTGAAGGATTCGTGCCCTCATCCCAGTACAAGGTATTGTACTCTCTGTTACGTCGTTGCCAGAATTTGGACCCTCGTCAGAACTTGACCAAGCCTCGCACGTTGTCGCCTTCGCTGCCTCCCCCGTCTTATCCTTCCCGTTCCCCCCTCCCCCCCGGCTTTCAAGGATCCCCAAGGCAAAGAAGGAAAAAAACCCCTACCACCTCTCAATCATCCCTGACCAGCCCTCCAAGAGCGTCTACCGGGAGCTCTCCCTTCACGGCTTCTTTCTTCTCTGCTTCCCATGTCATCCCTCTGTTTTCCATGTCACCCCTCTGCTGCACCTCACCCCCCATCATCCACTCTCTCTCCTGGACCCTGGTAAACATGCAGCTAGGATTCCCTCATCGAGCATAACTTGACCCAACTGCCCCAATTTACCATCGCTGTTCCCTATTGCGCTGCAACGCTGGGTACAGGCCCTATCCGTCAGACTAATGCCATGATGGAATGCGAGCTGTGTCTCCCTACGAGCTACGTGCTCTACACTGTGGTGTACCTAGATATGGATACGCTACAAAGTACATGGTCTGGAGCGATGGAGATGGAGAGGAGAAAGAGAGACTTGTCTTCCCTCTCGCAACCGTCGACGAGAACACTGTCCCACGCCATGCCGTCGGTGCCGACGAGACGCTAAGTCGAATTAGCTTGGCTTTTAACCCCCCATCCATGATCCTAGCCAAGCCGAAAAGATGGCGGAGACACGGGCAAGGGTCAGGGAAGATGCACCGCACGTGTGTGCGCCTAGAACGAACGGTACTTCCTACCCGTCGTGTACACTTGCAGCACTCTATCGGTGCCCCTTCCGGCTCCCTTCCCCAATCTAACGAGCCAAGCCAATCCAAGCTGTTGGTCCTGTTCCTTAGTGTCTCCTTTGGGCCCCTCGGTCTATCTCACTCGCAGCTCGTTAGGATGAGTGTCGCCGAAGGGGGGCAACTGGGCAACAGCTCCCGTGAACGTATATACATTTGGGTGGATAGGATGTGCATACCTGGAGGCGCTCTCCGCGCCTGCCCTGCTGCTCAAAAAGCCACCCGACTCCATCACTCCATTATATCCTACCCTCACTCGCTCTTCTACCTCCTTCCGTCCTACTTGTCTCTCCTTGAACGACCAGTCAACCACGTCCAACTTTCATCGGATACCGTTGCCGACGAGAGACGTGAAGCACTTCTCAAATCAACCGTCTCATCGATCTCGTCCTATCACCGACACTCCGCATTCCTATACGAACATCTTTAACGACCTTTCGGTTATTGGACTCCTCTCTCTCTCTCTCTCTCTCTCTCAAGCCACCCCGGACGTGGCATAAAACCTTAATACCAGCTGTGTGCCAGCCCGGTTTCGTTAGCTTGAATCTTGACCTGAGCAATATAACCTGCCCGTGCCTTCTCCCGGCTTTGCTGTTTGCCTGTTGAGGCCGTGGACTTCGACTCAACTGCATCCTGAGGTGCTCAAGGTCGCCAATGCCAAACGGCCCTCCCATCTACGGCATCAATTCGCCTTCTCAATGGGTATTCTAGCTCTGGAACCTCATCCCCGTTTGGCCGCCCCAGACTCTCCGCCCGGGCTGGTTAGCCCATCATCATCATCTTACTCCTCCAGGCCATCTCCTCCTGCCGAAAAGCTCTGGGACACCAGGTTTGGTCCCATATCCCCTCCCATGTCCAACTACGATCATGGCTCGGCGGCCGATGTGTCGACTGCCGGCAAAGGTGCTGAAGGCGGTTCGTCCCGTAAGGATTTGACACAAGGCGCTCCTCGTCAGCAACTGCCATCACTGAGCAGTCTCTTTGGACCTCCTCCACCACTCCGGCCGTTGCATTCTCCGCTGGCCGAGCGACCGGCCCCTTACCCGGCGACGTCTCCCTTGGATCGCCCGCGTATGCCGCAACCTCACAATGATCGCTCTTATGCCACATCGTACTTCCCGCCTCAGGAAAGCTCTCCAACGATGTCCCAGCCGAGGAGTACCTACGATGCCAGATATGACCACGAGAGGCAGGCCTTGCATGGCTTGTCCCGTTCCTTCTCCGGCCCTGGATCACCGAGATACCGCGAGTCCGAACACATGCGTCCAGAGTCGAGATCTGACGTCGGGTTGAGCAGCAAGTGGTCGATGCATCATGACGCTGGAAAGCACGAGTACGCCCTGGTATCCAGAGAGAACCAGCCTCCACTGCGGGCTTCACATGACAGGATGTCCTATCAATATTCAAGCAACAAAGACTCTGGCTCTTCCTACCGGGATCAGCGCTCCCCTTCTGGACCTGGTCTCTTGCAGGCATCGGCCTCTGCCAGTACGACGACCTCGGAAGGGATCCCATCTAAAGATGGTCTTGGTCCGAAGATATGGACGGGAAGCCACTTTCTCCCACGATTCGTTCGTGCTGCCGAAGTGCCGGGTGAAGGGATGTGTTATTTCTACGACGATGGAAGTCACTGCAAGACGGTCATTGATGGCGAGGCAGTCAACGCTCACTGGGGTGTGACAAAGGCAGGAAAGCCAAGAAAGAGACTGGCGATTGCGTGTGTTACCTGCAGGGAAAAGAAAATCAAGTGCGACCCGGACTATCCTCGCTGCGTCCAATGCGAGAAATTTGGCAGGATCTGCAAGTTCAAGAACGCGTGAGTGGTTTCGACAAGCAGCTCGCCATCTTCCCATTACTTTACTAACATGGAGATGGCTTTTACAGACCGCGAGGTGGCCACAACACCTCCCCATCCACGCCTCCTGCTGAACCAGAGGACTTGAGACGCCTGGGAGGCTCGGCCAACTCGAACGACATGCACCGCCCTGGCAGCAACTCCAGCGCGTCAGTTTCTCCTCGAACCACGTACCGTCAGCCCAGCCCGGAGCCTTCAATGCCTCATAAGAGGATGCGCCTCGGTTTTGACTCGTACCCCTCGATGCCGAGCGACTCTTCCGCCTTGATGAGCCGGACGCCAGAGACGGCAAAGGTCAACGCCTGGCAACACCGCCAGCCGATTGAGCTCCCTCGGATCCACGAGGACGTGCTTCACCGAGCATGGCAATCAGACCCGTATGTTTCCCACCCGCAGTCAGTTAGCACCGTAATCTCCTCCTTCTTCGTACACACGGTCAGCACCATGGCCCTTTGTTTCTTGCCCGAGACACCGTTTAAATCCTGGTTGACTGGTAATGCTTACACAAAGTCTCCAGAAGACCTGATGCTCACCTATAGCATCCTCGCCGTCGGGGTCACCTTGTCAGGTGGACCAAGAACAATCGCCTCCGAATACGCTCAGGTCGCACGGTACGCGCAGCAACAGCTTACACCCAGCCTCCAGCTTGCGCAAACTCGACTACTCCTGGCGGTCTATTACATATCCACGTCCAGAGCCAGCGAAGCAAACGATTTGATCAGTGCGGCCATCTCGACAGCCACTTCCTTCAGCTCAACCTAGAATTCAACACGTCGATCGACGCTCGCCAGAAAACTAATCCATACGGCTTGGATAGGGAAGGCTTTGCTGAGAGCCGGAGGCGGACATACTGGGCATGTTTTGTGCTAGAGCGACTCAACGGCATGTTCCCCGACCGCCTTGGCAGTCTTACTCCTTTAGACATATTCATCCGGTTACCATGCGAATCGGATGTCTTTCAAAGTCAACGGGCTTCTCAGGCACCCTTCTTTCCGGCACTCGCTTCGACTTGGTCCAAAATGGCGGATCAACGTTTAGCCTTAACAGCACATCTCATCCAGCTGGTGGGTGTCTGGGGAGACATCATGTCTAGCGTCTACAGGAATGAACACGGCCTGCCCTCGGATGGAGAACCAGCAGTACTTGTTGATAGCTCTGTGAAGAGGCTACTCAGCTGGCGTGAATCGCTTCCTGGACAGTTTACCTACAGTCCAACCAATATGGACCTGGCTGCTCAGGCTGGAACCCTCAGCACATTCCTTACGATTCATCTTCTGTTCCACCACGGTCTCGTAAAGGTCCACCGGCACTCGTACGCCTCGGGCCGAATATCGGCAGCGACACGAATGCAATATCTCTCGAGGATCCAAGAGGAAGCTAAACAAGTACTGCAGATCACGGGCGTGTTGGAAGCACTCCTTCAAGCTCGGCGAACCCCACTGAGCGCGCCGCCTCCATTCATGAGCCATGCGATATTGGAGGCTGCCGACGTTCTCACTGCGGAGGGTTTGTTATCAGAGCTTCCTGTGCTTTTGGAACAATTGGCTGTTGCAAGCGCTATAGTCGAAGCCGCAAGTATGGTTTGGAATGAGGCACGCGTTCATTGGGCCGCACTGGAACATCGACAGGACATTTTACGTATTCTGCGAGATCTTCAGCCCGGAGCAGCATCAGCCATTGGCGGCAGGGTGCTCGCCAACGAGAATGAGGACAAATGTTGGCAAATGAAGGGTCCAATGGACACGACATATTGGCCTATCGTGGACATTGTATACACGCGGGGTTAAAAGACATACACTTCCGCAACCATGGTGTCATTGTTTTTATCATTTTCACATCTGCATTGCATTTCAGGGAGTTGGAGGGCGCATTTGGACAATTGGCTATTTCTTTCTGCTTTTTACACGAGATCGGAGAGACAACACCTGGCTGTTTAGGCAGACAGTTTGCTCTCGTTCATCTATGTAACATTATATACCCTGTACATGAGGATACCAATCCAGGAAAACAACACAACGGCCGAGCGCAGCTGAGAAGAGGAACAGGATGTGTGCTTCATGTGGTTGAGGGTATCTTGGCAGGCAGCCTATGAAGGACACCCTCGGCAACATTAAACATGGTAAGTACAGTGTGTAGACGAAGGAGGGGCGATGAGAATACACCACCCAAGCACTTTGGTTGAACCACACACACACATACTTTGCAGTACGCACGCACACAGTCTCCATCTGATTCCGCCCTAAGTCATCCCTTTGTACCGTGAACACTACAGGATGGGGGAGGGATCGGTCTGCATGTCTCAGGTCAGTCGCATGATTGGCATGCGGAAGGCGGCATGCGGTATGTGTCGGCTCGGCTTCTCAACGGTGCGTCTAAATCCCGGGATGCAACTCTACTTCAGGTACTTGACCATGATCAGCGGTAGACAGGAGCTGGGGCTGAGAAAGAGGGCGGTCTAAGCCGATACATCATACGGGTAGGGTCAGAAAAGAGAGAGGAAATACGACCGGGGGGGGGGGGAGGCTAAGGTTAACGACGGCGGTCCTTTTTCGTTGTTGTTTTTTTGCCACAACTCTCTCGCGAGTTTTTTCTCTCTGTAACCTCGATCAACCTTCACTTGCGCATTCAACTGAACCTTGTCTAGTTTGATCCTGCCTACGGATAACCTGAGCTAAGTCTTGGCGAACAAAAAGTCGTTGGAACGGAATGCAGCAAGCGAACCAACGACGACCTGAATCGGGTTGTCGGACCGGTGAGGCGGCACCACACACCGGTCGTGGAGACCACCATCAGCTCCTGCTGAGGTGCAGGAAAACCTGGGCTTACCACGCAGATTCTGGAGCAAAGACGAGTTGTTGCCCCTCGGCATCCCTCAGTGGAGAGCCTAATCTCGCGGTGCTGCACGAAAACAGATACGACATGCAATGCAATGCGGTGTCTCTCTTTTTTTTTTCTTTCCTTCTCCCCCCCTCACTGTTGGTCTCGTCTCGGTAAATACAACTCTGCAGATGTGCAGATTCTGCTAGAGAGAAATAGGAAGAAGAGAAGGAACAAAAAAGTTCCAAATAACCCAAAGTCTCAATCGCCGATACCTAACCCCTCTTCCCCCTTTTCTTTTCTTCTTCTTCTTGTCTTCCCGCACCCTTGGCTTTTTAGCCTGCTGGATCTTGGGGGAGGGATCGGTTACTTTTCTGCAATTTTTTTTCATCTCATCTTTTTTGCATCTTTGCTTTCTAGAAACCCCTGTACTTGTAATTGTTGCTGTGTTGATTGTTCTGCATGGGCACGGTACGCGGAGGGCTTGGATAGGCGCGGAAGACGAAAGTCGTCGAGGGTCTTTGCAAGGTCAACGGTATCCATACCCCTTTTCTGTCCATACGAAGGACATCTTCACAGACAGGAAGATGAGGGATGGTAATTAGGAGGGGGGGAGAGAGAAAAGCGGCTTTTGGAAAGGGTGTGTGTGCTGTTCCCCCATCCGATCATCTCTTCCAAGTTCCTAGCCCCCCATCCCATCCCATCCCATCCATTTATTTCATGATCCCAGTGGGCCATGTCATCCACGGACCACAATACACATTCCACCCTTTCTTGCTCAGTTGGTCGCTCCCTACCTTAAACTCCCGCTTCCCGAAAAGAGCTTCACACTGATTTGATTTCGCCCGGTTCTGGTATACTAGTTTATGTCTTGCCCTTTCGATTTCCCATGTCTCAGTCCCCCACTCCTTCCATGCCTGCCTGCCGGTTTTTCAAGACATGGTCTCGGAAGCTTGGGCCATGATGTGCAGAGGTGCCAGAGTCAAGTCAGACACGGACACGGGGGATGGGAATAACCGGATCTGAAGTCTCTCACTCAACTACGGATAATCCGCTGTTATTTACTCCGTAGGTAGTGAACGGATACGGATCTTATCTATATTCGTATGCTATGTACTTTAGTGGGCGCGTCATTCCTTCTGTGAGCTATCTATCAATAGGTTGATTGCGAATTCTCCGGTCCTTGTGTCGCGATCGCCAAGCTTTTGCGGCACCCTTGATTAGATGCCGTTGACGTCCGGGCCGTGGACTGGACGAACATTCATCGGCCTTCTTCCGCTTCACACTGTGCGCCGAGGCTTTTACTAGCTAGTATTTACTATTTCCCAGTCTAGGTGCTCGGATGAAGTCCTCTTGAACGGTTGCGCTCCAGTCGGGTGAGGTGTGCATTCACTCCGGGAGCCATACCCGGTCGTTGTAGCTGGTAATGGTTGGTGAAATCGAGATGAGATTGAGATTTTGAGAGAGAAATGCGATTTGTTCTTCGGTATCCCGTCGTTTAACAAGAGTTCAGTCCAGGTCCAGCCCCAGCCCCAGCCCCAGCCTAATTCCGGACCTGAATGGAAATGCCGGATAAATGTGCGCTGGAGTGACGGAGGAGGGAGGCTCTGTTGTTCACTATCCAACCAGCTCTTTTCACAATGAGGCCGTGTTTGCCCATTTCTCTGCGTTCTGTCTGTCCGGTCTCCCGCATTGCCACGCCCCGGTCGTGGAATCGTGGAATCCCTGAATATGGGCGGATAGACAATCAAATAGGTTCATGGATTCAGCCAGGGATGAGGGTTTCCCGCGCGCGCACGCTATATGGAGTACAGGATATTAGAACCCGGAAAGCTACCATTTTCTGCCCGTGCGCTACTCGTTGGTCGTTCACTCAATCGGTTTCCCGCCCGAACTTGCTGTCCCATGTTCGGTCCTTTTAGCACGGTACGAAGTACTTATTGATAGAGGTTTATGGTGTAATCCGAAATTCGGCTCCGAGGCGGATGAACTCCCTGGTTGCGTTTTGCTTACCACACCCTCTCCCCCGGCATCGCGAAGGGGACTACGGTGTACACCCCCCCCCTTGGAGACGGGCAGACGGGGTTCGGATGCGGAAATTTGCTTTCACGTGCAAAGCCGCATACGACAGCGGGAGATATGTAGTATCGTGGAACAGTATAAGTTGGGTCCGCAGCGGAATGAGAGGATACGTCAGGCGGACATAACTTTACAGGTACCAGCCGGCCGGCGATACCCGTCTCAAGAAGCAGGATAACATTGGGGGAACCGTGGGAACTTACAGACGACGGTGGACTCTCCTTCTCCCCGCCGGCTATCGGCCGCGCCAGTGAGAAATGAGGGATTACCTAACATTACTACTCCTACATAGAAGCTCACCAACAAGAGAACTGATCAGACAGCCGCATGAATCGCATCGCTGCGTGGGCGCCACAGAAAAAATTCCCCGCCGGGGTTTTCGGGTAGCCTTTTCGAGGTGTCCCGGCCTCTCTCTCTCTCTCTCTCACTCCCGCTCGGCGCCGGGGCCAAGGTCCGCAGCGAGCGCCGAGGAGAGGGGGTGGGGGCGGCGCAGGCAGGGGGCCTTGACACTCTTGTGAGTGACCAACTACCGAGGGAGATATGGATACCTGTCTGCAATTGCCAATTACCAATCTGCGACTCATCTTGCGAAGTTCGCACTCCCTCACTCACTGGAGCAACCTATTTTACGATCCCGCGGAAACTTGTCGTATTGTTCATCGTACGGGAGTACCTTTTGATGATAATAGACCCGTTTTTTTTGTTTTTTTTTCCCCCTACGGTTGATTGGTGACGTCGATCGCGGCTCTGTGTCTGAGTGAAGTGTTGCGACGCCACTCACCCCCTTCTGGTACACGCACGCCCGGCATCTCGTTTGAATCCCGGTATAGTGAAGAGGACACACTTGGCATTACATTGGCGAAGAGACGTATCCATTAATCGCATATCCAACGGGACATGATGCATTCGATAGCAAGAGCCGCACCGCGTCTCACGCGAGGACATCGCGCGGCGATCATCTCATCCCCGTCAGTGTCGTCATCAACGTCATCGTTGCCGACGCGGCAGCGGCAGCAGCAGCAGCAGCAGCAGCGCCCCTTCACCACGAGCGTGAGCTTCTGGTCGTCCTCGGCATCGCCATCATCCTCGCCAAAGTCAAAATCGAGACCGCAGGCAAGCAGACCATCGGCGCCGCCCCCGCCGTTCGAGCTCGTACCGACATGTCCGTCGCCGACGTGCGAGTGCGCCGCGACGCCGGCGATGCCCGAGGGCTTGGACATTGACTTCAAGAGCCCGCTCAACGGCGTCGTCTCGGGGTATGCCGAGCAGGTGCTCGTGTGCACGGGGCAGGACGACTGGGTGTCGAGGATCGAGGAGGAGAACAGCGGGGATAACCTCGCGGCGGATTTGAAGGAGTTGTTTGGCCGCGGGGGGGAGTATAGCGATGTAAGTTTTTCTCACGGCGATCTTCTCATTGTTCTTATTCTTCTTTTCCCTATGGAGCAGTTCAGCTTCGGATGGCATGGACGAGTGTACGTGCCTACTAAGTAGTAATTTTCTGAGGCCCAGCATAGTCTGGAGCATCAGTAGTCATGTGTCACGTTGCTACACAAATTCCTCCTTACCTCTGTTGTGAACATTTACATGCGATTTGTATGAGAACACCATGGGCTGACGGTAAGTGAAACCTCCCGCCAAACCAACAGCCCTGGCACAACATCTCAACCCTAAACGCCTCCTTCCCCTCCTCCGTGCCCAAACGGAGCGAGCTGCAGACCACGAGCGCCTACCTCCTCCCGAGCTTCAAGTACGTGCCCTTCCTACCGCGCGTCAGCTTCGACAGCGTCCAGGCGCTCGCAAAGGGCTACCTGCTCCCGGAGAAGCTGCACAAGATGCACGACGGGAGCCTGTCGCCCGTCCACCGGGACCGGCTGACGCGCAAGGACGCCTACCGGTCGCTGCTGTACGGGGTCCGGGACGTGGAGGAGGTGCTGGTTCTGATTTGCGGGCATGGCGGGCGGGATATGCGGTGCGGCGTCATGGGGCCCGTGTTGAGGGATGAGTTTGAGAGGAGGTTTGAGGGGGTTGGGGTTGGTGTTTTGAGGGGGCCTGTTGTGGTTGATGAGAGTGGCGAGGAGACTGGGAGGATTGCGGCGCCTGAGGTGTCTGAGGGTGAGGGCGACGGTGGTGAGAGGAGGTATCAGAAGATGTCGGCGAGGGTTGGGTTGATTAGCCATATTGGCGGGCACAAGTTTGCGGGGAACATCATCATCTATATCCCCCCGGGGCAGCTTATGGCGGATGGGGAGAAGCATCCTCTCGCTGGGAAGGGGATCTGGTATGGTCGGGTTGAGCCGAAGCACGTTGAGGGTATCGTTAACGAGACGGTTCTCGGGGGCCGAGTTGTTGCTGACATGTTCCGGGGTGGTATTGATGAGGATAGAAAGATCGTTAGACTCTGATAGGGTGGACGTATTTGTGTAGTGAAGCTGGCTGAGTGTAAGAGTGGCTTGTATCATAACATAGAGTGTTGGACATCTCCACGATGACCCAAGGTGGTCTGACATTCTCAGACTTGGTAGAGATTTCAGTATCCCAGATGCAGACTCTCTAGATTCGCATGAGACTCCAGGGGTAGAAACGTTTTCATCCCCACAAAAGACCGCCTACGAGATACCCAAATGCTATATAACCAGGGTTCTCGGCCCCTCCTCCATACCTTCGCACAAAGCTAGTTGTCTGGCCTCATTAAGGTAGAGGAAGTCGCATTTTCTTGCACTCCAGGGCAGAGAGGCCGTTCTACTTAGTGCCATTTCTTGAGCCCAAGGTCGGTGGCCGCTATCGAGCAAGATCGAGGCGTCCTTCACGCTACGGCACTGGTGTCTCCGAACGTATTCGTGAGTACATATTCTTCGGTAACGCCGTGAGGAGTGATATGAGACCGTTCTGGGTGATGTGAGGCCGTCAAGAGTGATGTGAGATCGTTCAATTGGCTTGAACTAATGACGACAATAAACTTTCGAGCCCATAGTGAGCTTTGACTTGCTTAAGAGTACAATCAGCCCGCAGCCAGCCTTTGGGGAATGTCAGTTCAGGGCCCTGGCGTTGAGAAAGAAGATGCCGACACGAACAAAAACGTCGAAATCCTACTACGATACGCTTCAATGGGAAAAAGTCACAAAAGAATATCAAGAAACACAATGACCAAGGCTGTGAAAACATGTCAAGACTCTTTATCTAAACTGCAACTTTTCAGAACCACCTTCACCTTCCCCTTACGGTGCTCGTCCCTGCGCACGTATTCGTGAGTATAGAAGGTCTTCAACTACCGAGAAGTGAGAAGCGAAACTTTTGAAGTTGAGTTTACGGATCTCTGCTTAAGCCCTGTAGTAGAGTTGCAAACTTTCGCACATCACAAACGCCATCAATCAGTAGTCCGGGTCCAAGGTTCACCAGGCCGATGGACAACGGATAGTCGGCCATCTTCGTTTACAGACGGATTTTTGTGCTCTACTTGCGTGATCTGAGAGCATGGCTGAGCTGGAATTCGAGATCCAGTGTGTGAAGTCACGAGATCACTTACACCTACAGGCAGCAGTATGAGAGCCTGATTTCAGGTAGCACATTCTCAGTAGATGATAGAAAGCTGCTGTGGACTGGAGATTGATCCAAAGTATCTAGGACAGTGTTATCCCAAGGAAATAACACCCCCATAAGCTGACCAGGGACAGAAGAGAGATCCTTCTGAATGTTGCCAACATACCAACTTATATGCCTTGAAGCTTGAGAATAGAGAAGCCATATGGAATCTGTGCATATTTCCCCCCTCTTCTGAGTAGCAGATTATGTGCAACTAGATTCCGGGTGCTGCATAGTTAAGTATCCCTTATCTTGAGGAATCTAATGCGATTTCTGATTCGAGTCACATTCAGATAGGATTTATCCCACCGCCCCATAAAACCCGACGACAAAGTAGTATACCTTACTATACCTTACTATACCCAAAACTGCCTGAACCCAGATTTCCATTCAATCAAGTATTGACGACTTCGAAACAATATCGAACAAATATGTTCATTGATCCCGGATGTGTAAGTGTTTCTTGACCACAGTCAAACAAGGGTCTCACGTGACCGTGCGCATCTCAGTTTCGCCCAGCGGAACTAGCCCACTCGGAGCTTTCATCATCGACTTTCCTCACTATCCACTGCACGTCATTTCGAAAGAGATTACTGGAGAAGCTACGCGCCAGTCTATTCAGAAAGGCTCTACTTCAAATCGGATCAGGTGGTGCCGAGAAAGTGATGGGGGCCTCTGCATTCGTCTCTGCAGCCGGTGCGGCTCTCCGGCCGATCGCCGGGCGCTCACTCACTCACATCCGACCTCAGCTCCGTGCCACTCCGGCCGCCGCAGCTGCATCCCGGTCAACGACACCGGCAACAACTTCATTGCATCTAACACAACCATCACGCCATTTTTCAGCCTGGGCGAACCGGCGAACGACACCAACATCACCATCTGCACTCTCATCCTCAACAACAACGCGTCACCACCGCCTCAAATCCACGACACCTTCACCCACCGCCCCTCAACCCCATCGTCCCCCCAAACGCAGGGCCAGAACCTTCATAAGCCCCCGCTACCTCCCCGTCTTCCTCCTCCTCGCAGTAGGCGGCATAGCATGGGACGCCCAATGGCTCTTCCCCTCCACCCCCCAATCCAACGACCCAGCCGAGCAAACAGCCCTCGGCCCAGCCCGCAAGTTCATCCCCTTTGACGTCGTCGCCCGCGAGCAGGTCTCCCCGACCTCCTTCATCCTAACCCTCAAGGTACCGCCGTCAAACAGCAGCAACGTCGCAAGCGTGTCCTCCCTCTGGGACATCTTCGACCTCTGGTGCGTGGAGGTGAAGCAGCCCCAGATCCAGGTCGCGAGGGAGTACACGCCCCTGCCCCCCATCCCAGGCTCCTCGTATGACGAGGATACTCTCCGCCTCTACGTTCGTGCCGTGCGAGGGGGCGAAGTCTCGACATACCTAAGCCGTCTAGCACCCCCCTCTTCCTCTTCCTCTTCCTCATCGTCAGATGGCATTGCAACAAAGGGCGATAAAGTCGAACTCCGCGGTCCACACGGCGAATTCGACATCCGCTCCCGCCTAGGCAAACGAGGCGACCGCGTCGTGTTCCTCGCAGGCGGAACGGGTATCGCCAGCGCACTTCAAGCCGCGCACGCCGTCCTCCCGCTCCCGGACGGACCGTCCATGACCATCTTCTGGGCCGTCAGGAGCCGCGATGAGATTCGGGAGCAGCTGGCCGAGGGCAACACCGTGCCGCCACAGGTGAAGCCGTCATCATCCTCGTCGGGAAGCTGGTGGAATCCCTTCTCCTCATCAACCAGAAACACCCCCGGACCCCAAGCCGAAGCCCTCCTCTCCGCAGATACACTCGCCGCCCCCTCGCCCATCAGCAGAGACCTCCTCGCCCTCAAAGTAAAATACGGCGACAAGCTCGACGTCCGTGTGGTGATAGACCAAGAAGGCACCGCCGTCCGCGAAGCAGACCTCTCCGCGGCGCTCACTCTCCAATCCTCCCCCAGCGCCTCTGCTGGTACGACGCCGACCCACGCCGTCGAAGGCTGCAAATTCCACTCCCAGACAGCGCACATCGGCATGGTCGACGGCGCCCCCAACGCTGGGAAGAGAAGCCTCTTCAAGCAGGACGACTGCGCTTGCTCCGCCGACGACGCCGCGCCGCGGGGCAAGAATCTGTTTGTGGTTTCCGGGCCCGAGGGGTTTGTGCAAGCGTACGCGGGCGCCAAGCTGTGGCGGGATGGCGGGCAGCTGCAAGGGCCTGTGGGCGGTATGTTGGGCGCGATGCAGAGGCGGAACCCGGATATCTTGAAGGACTGGATTGTTCTTAAGTTGTAGGAGTAACAACTCCCTAGAGTGGCGAGTTCATGTACTATCATCCCATAAAGCGAAGTCATGTAAAACACCCCGAGGCGAAAGGGGAGCAGGACACTGCCCAATAAACTCAAGTTTTGATAACGCTGTCTAATTCTCTTGGGCCTGTCGATAGTTCCATCCAAATGATGCCGTACAAAGTTGGGAAAGAAAAGTTTCCCAGGTCCTCCCCGTCAAACTCCGCCTAATAATGCAAAAACCGCAGCGGCCGTTCCCTTTGAACGGCCGCGGATCCGTTCGCTGACACCAATCCCAGACGCCCTTACACAGAGCTTTGAAGATAGATACAAAGAAGATCTCATACAACAACAATGATAACAAAACACACTGGTGTCTACGTGCTCTGCACTTTTCTATACGAGGGCGGCTTCATCGTCCTCCTGATGAGCTTCACCGCATAGGGTGGGATGAGAGATATCGCCGCGATGGCAAGGACGCGCCAGATGAATCCCCTGCATCGTGTCAGTCTACGGAGTTCTTACGAAGCATGGATGCAAGTAGACTTACAAAGTGATGATGAATTGGAGATCAAAGTAACCACCAAGGAACGGCACGGAGCCGACGAAGATGAGAAACGTGCCAACAATGGAGATGATCATGGCAGGGTGCCACGTCGTGATCTCGATGGCGACCATGAGAAGCTCGTTGAGTACTAGCACGGTGTACGAGACCGCCACCATTTTGGGCCCGTCGACTTCGGTCAAAAGCTGTGACAGACCTTGGATAGTACAGCCTTGATAGATCGAAACAGCAACCCAGACGAAAAAGGTACGATAAGACAGGGATCGGCCGGAAGTGAGCTCTTTGTACAGTTCCGGGTACAAGTTGGCCAAGTTTTCGTCCACATCCTTATCAAGGACGAGGGAGAGAACGGGGAATGCAGTATACACGGTAGAATATCCGACGAGAAGCCAATCCTACGAGTAAAGATTAGCAACCAAAATACATACGTACAATCATCAAAAGTCAACATACCTTGTAGAGACCATCGGGCTCGAACTTAATGGCAATACTGTACATCGTCTGGCAGACCGCAATGATCAATCCTCGATGGATGACAAACTGAGCGAGCTTAGCACTGCGCTTGTAACTGTTGCGCCCGTGCCAGACCAGCAATTTAGTCAGGTGATAGAACTGCTCGATCGAGAAGTCTGCTGCCAAACTAGCTTGACGACCTTCCTTGCCCACAATACCGACACCGACGTCTGCTGCTTGAATCATGGAAACATCGTTGCCTCCGTCACCAATACAGCAGACTCTCTTTTTAGTGTACTCCCTAATCAGCTTGGCAACTTCGGCTTTCTGCGTGGGCGAGCATCGACATGCAACAACTGTCGGGAGTTGCACAGCCACGGATACGAATTCGATCCTGAAGTGGGTGAGGAAGAGAGCCAGACTCTCGCCATCGATCAAAAGACAAGAATCTGTCTTGCCACGAAGGAAATCGAGGTGATCTTGCGCGTTGTCCTTCTTTTTAAGCTTAGAAACTGTGTAGATGTACTGGCCACGAGCGACAAGCTTGGAGCTGACGGCGACGCATCGAGCTGTTTCGACCTTGTCACCAGTCAACATCCAGATCTTGATGCCTGCGTTTCTCAAAAGCTCCAAAGATGGCTTGACATCCTTTTGCAGCTTGTCCTCCACACCAGTGACGCCGAGAAGCTCCAAATCGCGCTCAAGGTATTGAGCCACAACACGTTGCATACCGGCGTCTCGTCCAGCGATAGCCAAAGAAGCTGCTTGATAGCTGCTGGTAAACTCTTTATACTGCTCGTAAGACAATCGCTTCCGGCCTACCACAAGTGTGCGCAGGCCCTCTCGAGCCATGTTGGAGGTTTCTTCGTCAAGCCAGTCGTTCTCAGCCACAATGGGGCTCATGACTGTATCAGCACCCTTTTGATAGAACCAGATTTCGCTGTTGGCGAGGTTCGGCACCGTCGACTGAGTCTGATCGAAAAACTGAACAATGATGCCCATGCGCTTACCCTCTGAGGTAAAGGGAAAGACATCGAGAATACGCACGCGAACAATCTCACGGCCGTTCTCCGTCGACTCGAGAATCATGCTGGTGCGATCTCGATAGGCGAGGCGAAGTCCGACAGATTCAGTCCAGCGAACGATGGCAATCTCATCAGGGGAGGAAGCCTGGTAAGAAACGATGGTCTTTCCGTCTTCCTCCTCTGTTGTTGGCGTCACGTTGTGGCACAGAGCCAGAGCGAGAACCACGTCTCGGACACGAGTGCCAATTTCTCTCCTTGTGCGGGTTGCACCCACGTTTGATGCGTTGGCAAATGTCGAAGAAGGCGTGATCAACATGGTATGCGACGAAGGGTCGGTG